ACACACACACACTCACGCACACATACACACATGGAGAAACAACATGAAAGTAAAGCTAATGGTGTCCTCAGTTTCCTCGAAACCCATTTAATGCTCCTCTGCTTTTTTCAGTGATTAACAGCAAGTACACTGTCACTTATTTATTGGTAACTTCTGTTTTCTGTTTTAGGGGATGTGATCAACCTTGGCGACAGACAGCTCACTGTTATGCATATGCCAGGTCACTCCAGAGGCAGTATTTGCTTACATGATAAAGATCGCAAGATCCTCTTCAGTGGTGACGTCATGTATGATGGATCACTGATTGACTGGCTCCCATACAGCAGGGTCAGTGACTATGTTGGAACTTGTGAACGTCTCATAGAGTTGGTGGACAGAGGTCTTGTGGAGAAGGTGCTTCCAGGGCACTTCAATACTTTTGGTGCCGAAAGGCTGTTTCGTTTAGCTTCTAACTATATTTCAAAAGCTGGGATATGCCACAAAGTGTCTACTTTTGCCATGAGATCTCTTGCAAGTTTAGCTCTCCGTGTAACAAATCCTAGGACCTCACCCTAGTATCTACATGGGTCATTTGTTTGTATTAACTGTGTAAATTAACCCAGTTCCCCTGTGTTGTTGGAAACAGTTACTAGTGAGCATTTCTAAATGTGCTTTAAGATCACCATTGTATGTTAGAGAAAAAAAAAAAGGATTAAGGAGGAAGAAAAAAAAAAAAGCAGAGTCTTAGGTTAGTATCTTTTTCTTTTCTCCAAGGAAGAAGCCACTTAAATACGCTTGCAATTGGCCAGTGCTGTCATTTCAGAGTGTGTGTTCTGGTGATGCTGTGGGGTGCTCTAGGCTTCAAGGATGCACTTGGCAGCACCTCAGAGAACTGCCCTTGTCTCATAGTTTACTTCCCCAGATACCGAGGGGGAAATCATATGGGGTTCTATGCTTACACTTTACACTTGATTTTTCTCTGTACTTTATTTAAAGATAAAGTTTTTTGGGTTTAAAAATAAAGTAGAACTCAACAAACTAGTTTTTAGAATGACAGCTAAAACAGCCCATATTTATGATCCTGGATTTTATGCCTCCTTTTTTATTTTTAATTCTTTCTATAAGCATAAGGCAAATAGCACGCTATATAATTTAACGTATGAACAGTACAATGGATTTTTGTCTTACTGCAAAGCTTTAAATGTAAATTGCAGAGCACTTCAGTAAAAAGCTACTGTTTGTTGTTTGTTATCGTGTAAGTAATATTTTCAGTCATGAAAGTGAAGTTAAAGTGTATGTTATCTAACTATTAATTATCAGATTTCTAAAAAGGACACTGTCAGGCAAATTTGAAAATAAACACATTGAGAATAATTTTTTATTATATCCTATTTTAGTATTAATAGATACTATAAACAAATTTTTTTCTGGTTAAATAGCAATTTCAGTATTGTGTCATGTTTTACAGTACTAAAACAACTCCTGACATCTCTGACATCTTGATGCAAACAATTCTTTTACTTGATATTACATGTATATGTACCACAGGAGAATAAGTTTACTGCATACATGTATTATCTATTAACGAGAGCAAACGGCCTTCTTATCCTGATTCACAACACCTGTTCCTGTTCAGTATTCTTTGTCTTAAACAAAAACAAGTCTATGTTCATATGTCATAGAAAATTACTAAGCCACTATTCAGTGATACTAGGTAAAATGTTTAGGTTTGGTGCTTTTAATAATAATAATTTATCAAAAAGCCTTTTGGAATATTTCATAAAAGTTTTTAAAAGAGTTTCTCACTACCTTTTTATTATTAATGTTTTATTATTGACATTGTAGACCAAACAGATCTACTTTTGGAAATCAGATCACTCCGTTCCAGAATTCTTGTTTCTGTCAAGTTATGTAACCTTTTTCTCTGCAAACACCCAGGTTCTTTAGGTTTTAATTCACTCAGTAGACACACATGCTGGCATGCATGTTCACATACACAGACACAGGCATGCCACACTTACACATAAGTGTGCACACACACACACAGGCATGCCATACTTACACATAGGTACACAGTACTGTGCTAAGCAACATAGGATGTTTGAAAGTGAAAGAACTAGTTATAGCTAGAAATTAAGGCCATAAAATCCAAGAAGTAATATATGCAAGTTGACATTAATAAACATATTGCTTAAATGTAAAGGATACAAGGAAGGGTATGAAGTTAGGTAAGGCAAATTCCCCGGAAGAGGGGATTTTTTTAGTCAGATTTGGAGGGAGGCTGGGAAATAAAAAATATGTGAGCCTACATTTTCAGGAATTGCTAGATAGACTAGCCTAGTCCTTGTGACCATATAAATTTAATTTTCTGGAATGCCATTTCTTCCAAGTATCATATACTTAGCATGAAAAAGACGGGTTTGTGATTGTATATGTGGCTCATTCTTAAAGTCAGATGAACTGAGGTGTCATGTGCCACTATGTAAACCTTTGCTTACACTCAGAAAGGAGATCATGATTGGCTCTATATGAGGTGCCATGAGTGCTCCTTGAAGACAGTGGGTGTGTTTCAACTGGTGTCACAGTTCGGAGAATAGAGACTGGTTCAGGGCAACTACAATCACTTAGTAAGCCTTAAATATAGCCATTATTTTTGTATCAGCAGCACAAAATAAAGCCAAAAGTCCTTAATCAGTGACTATTTTATCATATTTTAGTATTTACTTTAAAATCAGGATAGAGTAGGCATTAAGCTTTATTAGGAAAATTTATTCCTGATGAGATGTTTCTTTATTTATTAAAAGTGCAATTTTTCAGTATAAATTGATATTTATCGATTTCACCAATTTTTTAGTTTTTTAAATTGCAGTGTAAGATTGCGATATTTCACTATTGCTACCCTGTGAAAAATACAGAAGTAAATTCATACTCATTTAGTATTCACAACACATTTTAAATTTGCATCCTAGTTCCAGCACCAAGAGATAATTGACCAGCATCATACAGTATGGACTAGGAACACAGGTTTGTCTGCTCCGACACCACAGCCTCTCTTAAACCTTCACAACACACAGAATTGCCCACATATAGTTTTACTTTCTAACATGCCATATATGTGAAAAATAAATAATATCAAATCCTAATAGCATTTTTAGAAAATTAAAAAAAATATGTATTTTCACCCTGACAGTGGCCCTTGTAAATTTATGATTTTTCAGAAATAGAATATTGTAAGTATAACTCAAGGTTGTCAAAATGTTAGACATGTCAAAATGATTTCTTATTTATTATTGCTAATAATGACCTCGTGGACTTTCACTTTATTTATTAATTATTGTCTCCTTTTAACTGAGAAGCTTGAAGCAAACAGAAGCCTTGTATGTTATACTGATATAACTAAATACCTGCTTATCTGTATTTGTCCTAATATAGGTAATAATATGAATGTGACATGCACAAATTGTTCTATAATTTTCAAATAAGTCTATGTAAACATTGTGGGGTAACTATTAAAGTGGCCATGTATTTCAGTGTTTAAATGGTGCTTTTTATATAATATTAACAGATTTCCTTTTTTTTTTTTTTTTTTTTTTGGTCTTTTTGAGACAGGGTTTCTCTGTCTGGAACTCACTCTGTAGACCAGGCTGGCCTCGAACTCAGAAATCTGCCTGCCTCTGCCTTCCAAGTGCTGGGATTAAAGGCGTGCGCCACCACCGCCCGGCAACAGATTTCCTTTTAGTATCTTAATATCTTTATATATACTATATAAAACATTTTGTTTTACTAAATGAAATTTTGAAAAGTTTGTAACAATAAGGATAGAAAAAGCTATACACAACCCAGAGGCAGCAAAACACCCGCAGAGGCTGGTAGAGTTGATGCAGAAGAATCCAATCAGCAGATTCGGGGGCAGTATAGTTTCTCCTGTGGGAGATAAAGGTTTATGCCATCATAAAAACAAACCTGAAGTTGAGTGAAAGTGTAGGTGTGTAAACCAGAGAGCTTTACATGTATGCAGTAGAAATGGGAGGGACCACATTACATTAAAAAGAATCAATTACAACAAAATTTAAGTCTTCATTGGCTTAAGATTACATGTCATAAAAATGGAGAGAAAAGAAAGGTGGGGGGTGGGGTGAGGAGGAAGAAATAACTCACAACCTAGTTACTTCTTAAACAGCACAAAAGACTGAAAAAGCCAAGCATATATTAACTAAGCTTACAATGAAACAGGTAAACTACCATAGGAAAGGAAAACGTTTCTTCTACAAGTAAGGTGTTGTGGCTAAGTTCAAGATTTAAGCTAATCAAATTCTGATTAGAGAAAAACATATAGCTGTATTTAATGTGCATAGTATAATGTCTATACAAAATCCTTCATATATAAGGATTCATATATATATATTATATGTATGCATAGATTCATATATGTTATATATTAAAATATATGCACAGATTCATATATAATATGCACATCCTTCATATATAATGTGCATACTTTTACATCTATACAAAACCCTTTATATATAAGTCTTTCATGTATAAACAGTGCTGGAAAGACAGCTTAGTGATTTAAGACCTCCCGCTGTCCTTCCAGGAGAACTGTGTTCAGAACTGGGCATTTCATACCCAGCTGTAATTAGTTTTAGTGAGGAGAACCCTTAAGACACCAGCAACTCACCCAGAGTCACATCCATTTATACATAATTAAAAATAAAAATAAAAAATGTAAACTTCTTATTTATGTGTGCATACATGTTACATGTGCTTGGGTACTTGTGGAGGCCAGAAGAAGTTATCAGATGCCCTGGAGTTGGAGGTACAGGCAGTTGTGCACTGCCCTACATGGGTGTCTCTTTAAGAGGGATTCAGTCTCATTCACAGAATCAAAACTTCACGATCTAATCAGCTTCAAAGGGCCAGACTTGCAAGTGTCACCATATTGTGGAATATGTTTCAAAATGAACTTAGGAGGACACATACATGCCATCTACAGCACAACTGTCTTGATTCTCCCGTTTCTCTCACAGGTACACAGAGCCCAACACTCAAGATACTCCTAATGCTAGCATCCTCGTGGTGTGAATCAGCCTGACTCTGTATCTCTACTTCAGTGTCTGTCAACTACTGAAGTGTGTCCGCCCACCAATCAGCATTGTTATTAGAGCAGTTTCTCTAATACACTGGTTTTAGTGTTCTCAATTAGAACGGGCCTCAAAGGCTCATCTCCAGTTGGTGGAACTGTTAAGGAAAAGTTGAGCTGTGGTCATGTTGAAGGAGGTGTGTCAGTGAGGAAGGGCTTTGTGGTTTCAAAAGCTTTCCACTCGCAGTTAGCTTCCTCCACCTCCTGTTTGTGCATCAATTTGAGGCAACTGCCTCAGTACTCTGCCTGCCTAACTGCTGCCATGCTCCCACCATGTTGACCATGGACTCCAACCCTCTGCAATTATGGACCCAAAACTGAATGGTTTCTTTTATAAATTGTCTTGGTTATGGTGTATTACGTGTAATTTTTAAAATCCATGCTAGCTCTTTGCCCAGTGTCGGCAGTGGCCATCTCACCCAGTGCCCATGGCCAGCTTCACCAAGCCTCTAACACCCTCCCAGTCACTGCCCTTTCTCTGGCCCAACTGAGTCGCCACAGATGGAAAATATCAGACAGGTTTAATATTTTAAAACCAGCCAGATAACACAGTGCTGGGCGAAGAATCTATTGTTCTAGACCCGTCACCTCTCCTCTATTAGAGCTCTGCCACCACAGTTGTAGTAACCCCCAGACCTTACATTGTTCCTAATCCTCTCACCACAGCCTGGTGTGGAAGCAAGCAAACAAACAAACAAACAAACAAATCCCTTCTCTCTCTCTTCCTCCTGGGACCGGAAATCCCCCCTCTTTAACTTCACCCAGCTATGGGCTTCTGTTGTCTTTATTGACATAATCAAGAAACAATTTGGGAAACAGTTTTTAGCTTCTCCCCCCCACACACAATGGTGCATTGTCACAGCAATAGAAAAAACAAGACAGAAATTAGTACCAGGAAGTGGGCTATTGCTATGATTGGCTTGACCATGCCATTTTGATTTGTTTTGTTTTTTAAGAATGTGGGAGACTTTGGAACTTTGGACTAAGAAAATGGCTGACCACTGTAAGTAAGCTTAATGGGCCGTCTTAACAGTGTAAGGCTTGGAGGAGCCCTACCGCCCCCTCCCCACCACCACTTGGAGTTTATTTTTCCAGCATGCTGGGAGCATCCTGCATCCAAAAACAGAGGCGCTGACCTCAGACAGCCTGTTCGGCCAATTTTTATAAAGTTTTCAGGGATAGAATAGAGCAACAACCACTAGGCACAATGTGATTGGCAGAACGGTGTTACTTTTAAACTGATTGGTCCTTAGGAAATGTGGTAGCAGAAGCCAATGGTCAGTCGGTGGCCCTGAGGAATGTGTCTGTGCGCTCTGTTCCCGCTGTGGTCTTCCTGAGGAATCTAATTCAGCCTCTCCCTTCCGGAGGGCAGGGGTTCTGGTGGAATCTGTGAAAGGCTCTGAGCTGACCTCTTCACTAGGAGCTTGGAAAACAGGAATGCTGAGAGCAAGATGGAGCGTGGAGGCCCAGCTTAAGAGGTTTCCCGATTAGCAATTGGGCTAGAGATCATTCTTCTGACATTTTGGCAAAGAATGTGTCTGATTTCTTCTCTTGTCCTAAGAATCTGCCTGAGCTTAAATTGAAAAGCTTTAGATTAATTTCATTAGCAGAGGAAATTTCAGGACAATCTAGCATTATTTCTGTTGCGTGGTTATTAATCATGTTTATGCAGGTCTTCCGTGAAAAATGGCAAGGCAACAACAATATAAAATACACTGTTTGAAGAAAAAAAGCACGGTGGAAGTTAATGCTGGAGCTAGAGCTTGTGTTGCCATCTATAAGGATCGGTCAGAAGCAAAAACGGAATGAGGGAGTGATCCGCTCCAACAAGACCCCACCCAGATAAGCCTGCAATTTATAAAAGCAAGGGGCCTGAGGAGTGCTTATAAAAAGCAACAACTCAAAGCTTACACAAATGTAATTCAAGCTGGGGTCAGACTCCATCCAGCAGGCAGTACAGGCAGAACAGTTCTGGCTTTAGTGTTCTAAAGGATAGACAAGTAAGCGGAATGTGGGATATTCCGCGGCAGTTAAGCAGAGGCACTGAGGCTAGGGCAGTTGGAAAGGAGTCTCCACATGGAGGCCCTGAGAGGCTGTCTGTGAGACTGTGAATGTTAGGGGTCAGGAATCGCCACACAAACCGTGTGAACACTGATCTCAACTGAGCAAGAATGGTTTGTCGACTGCACACCCTGATCCTGAGCGTTCAGGACCTCAAAAAGGACTGGAAGCCTCATTATAGTCCTAGTCTGCACTTGGTGTAGGCTTTTAATAGGAAAAACCAATTTCAAAGGTTTAAAGGGCAAGGATGGGAACCGTGGGCTTACTAGGCAGAGTATTATCAGCTGACCTTTAAGCTGATTGGTCCGAGTAAGGTAAGGCGTGGTGGATGGGTGGTGACCAGGGGACTTTCAGCACAGTGGGATAACAGAGCGTGCGTATTATAGTCATAACCATTTTAAAGCATTCTTCAGTGTCATCCACAGAAACTGGAAGGTGCTCAGCTCCGACTCGAGCCTTTTTAGATAGAACAGTTCATATTGACCTTGGATTTGATGGATCCTACGTAAAAAACTTGGTGGACTTTCCTAAGATTAGCAAACCTCATACAGAACATTCAGCCATACAGAACAAAACAGGGTATGTGGTCAGCGTGTCCTTGAGCCAAATCACATCTCTGTGTCAATGACTGGCAGGCATTTCATACTGTTGTTACAGCAACAGTATGAAATATCTGGCAGGCATGGAGCAGAATGCCTACAGCTATTCTGTGGGTGGGGATAGGGATGGGGTGGGGGGAGGGTCAGACCATAACAGTGAAGGTGAAGCCTGGACTGCTTTGGAGAGCCCCAGGGTGTTGGAGGTGTGAGAGATATGGGATGTCTGCCAAGCAGAGCTGCAGACAGTGAAACCAGAGAGGACAGTGCTACAGTCAGCAAAGCCAGAAGGGCAGGGCTGTTTAAGCTGTTTGACATCAGTCATAGAGCTACATGATTTGGAGTTTGCTTTGAGCCAACAAACCCTTACTCTTCCTCTTTTCTCCCTCTTGAAATAGTAATGTGGGTTCTGTGCCATTATAAGGAAGACATTGCTTTTTGTTTTTAGGGGGTTTAAAATTAAAAGATTGTCTTGAGTCTCAGAAGACACGTTGTACTTGTAAACAATGTTGAAGGTGTGAAAGACTATGGGAACTTTTGAAGTGGAAAATGTATTTCCAAAATGCATTTAGCATTTTGCATTATGATACAGCCTTGTGCCTATGAAGTGCCAGGAAGTGGAATATGGTGGTTTGAATGATAGTGATCCCACAGGCTAATATGTCCCAATACTTGGTCCCCAGATGGGGAAACTGTTAAAGAAGGATTAGGAGGTACAGGAGGAGATGTTACCACAGGA